AGATTAGGAAAAATTTATACCAGCTATAGGGTATAGGCACTGTGAGTGAACATCTCCATATTTTGTGTATAACGACTATCACTTTTCCTGTCACCTGCGAGCGTGCGATCAAATAGAAAGTTCCGATATTAATGCATGAACTAGGTAACTATTGTAAGGGTATCGTTCTCCCTAATTAAATTAATACAATATTTACGTAATTTTCCGATTCTAGAATATTGGGAAATATATGCCAGTGAAAAATAATAACTTGATTTTAAATTAAATCTTAATATTTTGACCGCATTAAGTTTACCATCAATGAATAAGGGCCAATAATGTGGTCCCTTAAAATGCAAGTGCAAACATTTAATTTCAGAGGATACTATGTGCATGTTGTTTATTTTTTCGAGCGCAATGTTTCTGGATTGTTGATTGTTCAATGAAAAAGTTGACTTGTCGGTAAATAAAATGTATTTTAAAAGTTTTTATTTTGACTCTGTCGAGGGGTCAACCACTCCCGAAATACTGGTAAGTTTCCACTCGAAATCACTACAAATTTTCTCAAAATTCACCGAAATCACTTCGAAATCACTTCGAAATCACTTCGAAATCACTTCGAAATCACTTCGAAATCACTTCGAAATCAATTCGTAGCTCAAAAATCTAAATGCAGCAGCTTGTGGATCAAAAACACAAGGGAATATCCCAAAAAAAGTCATCTATAAAATTAATGGGGGTTTTTCAGTGAAATCACCGAAATCATATAAAATTTTTTAAAATGATTTCCGAAATACATGTACGTTTTGACTTGTGGTTTAGTGCATGCAGATTCGTCATAACACTACGAAAATAACAAAAAAACAAAGTAACAAAATTATGCTATACAAGTGTATGTTAATATTAAGGTTTATTGTACATATTCACCGATTTGATTACAATGCTCTCCGACATTTTACGAATAACTGCCTGCAATTAATAGAGATGGGCGCACCTACACAATATGGCTCGTATAATTTTTTCCAAACCTGTATATCTAAACCATCTCATCATACCTTTATCAATATTTAAACATCTTCTTTCACTCCATAACGCTTTCTTAAAAATAACTTAATAAACTTTTAAGTCTTAGTTAAATTATAAGATCGTTAAATAAAACTTTATATCGTATTTAATATTATTTATTAATAAAATTAAATTGTATCATATTTAAAAGTGTTGTTTTGAAACAGAAAATGTGAATATTACCATCTTAACAAGATTAGAAAGTAATTCAAAAGGGAACCTTGGAGAGAAGGCAAAGCATCGGACAGGAGCAAATGAAAGTTATAACCACATCCCCAACTAGCCATTCATAAAAGTGTATTTGTTGTGAAGTTCTCATCATCATCTATTGTATAATCCAGGAAACAGTGACGATTTTCGGTATTTATTTTCCCAGTCAGCAAGCACGAATAGAGAATTGTAGGATTAGCAATTCTAAGCAAAATTCATATATATTTAGAGGGGGGATCCGATGGGCTGAGGCCGAAAATGCGTCAAAACATACGAGAACACGGCCCTTTTTTTCCATTGATAAAAATAGTTTAAATAGTAAGAGATGTACTGAAGTTAAGTAAAAAAATAGTCTGATTAATCTGTATGGATAATATATTTGGCAAGTGCATAAAATACACTTTCAAACGAGTTATGTACACAATTATTTCTACGACCACAATTATTTAAAGAATGTTCCAGGTGTTTTGTATATTAAAGTGTACGCATAGGACATATAAATAAAATCTTACATCACAATGTTTCACCTAACCAGTTGGTTTATTTATAGAAATTAAACATAATAATTGAAGATATTACAGAAGAAAATAGGGAAATAAATTACATTTTCTTTTACACTTTTATATAATAATTGTTTTATTTAGAATTCACGAATCACTTATTACTCTACATTAATTATAATTATTGTTAGTTTCGTTATGTCAAATCATTTATACTAGAGGTGTGAGGAAAATACAGTGAACTGTGGAACGCCAATATCGTCGGATGCGCGTGGTAGAAATGGTCCTATAATACTGCTAAAAACATAGCTAAATTTTCATGGAAACACTGTACTTTTGACATTTGCGATACTCCGACGCATATGCATTATTGATGTAATCTCATGATTTTACAGTAATAGTTTTTGCAATTTTAGTGTGATTTTTAGGTTATTATGGTTATTCATTTTATTTGGTTCTGATGTTTTGCGCATCTATAGTATTTGTCTTTTATATAGTTTTTAATTTGAATTTTAATATTGTGGTCTATTTATATTTGATTGCTGCTTTTCGACTAGTGCTTTAATCTTTTTGTGTTAAAATAAGCTTTATAACCATTAAGTACATGCTTCTAGTTGATATCTACCTAATCGTCATCGGGTGCTTGCAACAATGGGAAAAAGTGTATGGTTTTTTTGGTGTAAAGTTAGACGCCTTCATTTTTCAGGTAAGTTATTTGTAGTTATTTTTTACTTAAAAGGATAGCAATACGTCCTGGTTCGGGGTGTGACTTTTGGGTTTTAGCTATCTGAGCCAAATTGTCGGCTAAGTGTCCTTTTTTAGGGCACCAGAACCGAAAACTATATAGGTATATAATATGTTTTTTTTTATTATTTTTTAATATGTATGCAGCTTGGATGAGGGCTTTAGGAAGAGATCCTAAGACTGAACACTGACTGCTATAAATGCCGTTTTTAGAGCACATTTCTTAGTGATTTCATTCTAGCAGCAATGAGGAAACGTTTAAAAAACATGCTGTACCAGCTATTACTTTAAGACCTCGTCTCTTTAAGTTATTATTACTTCATTCTAATGCATATATTAAAATGGTTTTTAACTTATGTCCTTATGATTAAAAGATGTAGGTATTTTAGTTATGTTATAATAGAAATATATGATACTTTGTATTGACTGACCTACTGGCCACTGGTCATTCCACTTTTACTGCCTTTTTTCATAAATTATCAAATTATTTAAAAACAAATACATACCTAGCTATTTTCTGTAAATTACATTAAAATTTTAGTATTAATACTTTACTAATAAAACTTCAGTTAATTTATCTTATATATATACACAACGGAAGAGTTAATTGGATTTTCTCCTTGTTGAGTTTCAAAAATAGTAATTTAACATGATTTAAAAACAAATACATGAAATGGGCAAAATAGGCCTACAAAGGCACTTTGTAAACAATCTCACTTGTATCGATGTGACGTAATGCGCGAATTCAATCTGGCTTACTTTTGTTAATAGATTGGCGTTCCATTTTAAATATACAGTTCACCGGGAATAGATTATTTAAATATACACGGACCGGGAAAACAAGTACGAAAAAATTCACTGGCTCCTGGACTAGTACTGTATCGAAGGAATTTTTATGAATGAAACAATATACGACCCTCCACAATTGCGGTCTACTCAACTTCCGCTGTTGTCAGACATTATTTTTTTTGGGCAATTTAAAGACCTAACAGTAATTCAAGCAAACGCAATAACATTACTACAGTTAAAAACATCGCAAACTTGGCATCAATATTTTAATTTTATCCAAATATTGCATTTCTGTCGAGGATCATCCGCGTTGACTTCAGAAATTGTGTAATCTGTATTGGTTATATATGTATATCTATAGTTAAAAGCTCGTAAACTTGGCATCAATGTTCAATCCGATTATTGAGTTTCTACCGCGGACACCACTGTTCATTCTTCAAAAATTTTGTAAACAATCCTATCTGTCTTGGTTATATATCTATGGTTATAACTGTAAGGGTGCAGATTTTTACTACAATTCTAGTCTATCCTACGGGGATACGCGCTTAGGGGTAATATATTGTACGATACACGTTGATATTTTATTTTTATTGAAATGTTTTTTAATAAGAGTACTCGCCTAAAGATAATCACCAACTAAGTATCAAAAAATAGAAATAAGAAAAGCAGTCATCACAAAGTTTCGATCGTACTATATGTGCGGCCTACACGTTGTAATTTGGGGAAGAGCCACATTCAAGTGGGGAAAGAGCCGCATGCGGCTCGCGAGCCGCGGTTTGACGACCCTTGCCATAGACCAAATATCAGCGACTATTTCTGTAGAGAAATAGTCGATATTTTGTCTAGTGAAATAGTCGTTCCAAATAAAACACGACCTTGATTAATATTATGCTATTTTTGTTGTTACTAAACTTCTCGAACATTTTATAATTTGATTCTACATAATTTTGGCATTAATTATCAATTGAATATGCCCTCGAGCTAAAGCTCTCGGGCTCTAATCACATTATTAATGCCTAAAATTATGTTTCATCAAATTGATATTAAAATATTCTCGAAATTTGGATTCAACAAAAATAGCAACTATTATCAAGGTCTCGGTATATTACCCTCGATAATATATTTTCCTCTAAATTCAAGACGGCAACACGGCGTCTGATATGGCAATACGGCGTCAAAACTTTCGCTTTTGCTCCATCGGATACCTATAACTTAGGACCTGAACTAAAATTCAATATGGACGCAGCAAAATTTTTAATTTTACATGAAATCGTAATTTGTGCACTGTTTTAAAAGGATGCAACATTGGTTATTAAAATTTGGCAAGAATATTCAAAAAATATATAGCATGCTGTAAAGTTTTTTGAACTGCATCTGTGACTTATCACTGTTTTATATTTTTTAATAGTATTTAATAATTAGCAGGACAAATGAAAATGTCTCAATGCAATCATTAAACATTTTACTATAAGCTGCCAAAGTTTCACTAAAATCCATCCAGTGAAAGATAAGTAATAATTGTAAACCTCTGTTTTGACCACGTAAAATACACTGAAATGGCAGCCTTAAGTTAAAAGTTTTAAAAATTTTATTCTAAAAAATGTAAGAACTTGAAGTCGATTATTTTAAACCACCATAAAAAAAAGACAACTTGTCAAGATGTACGTTGTACAGCTACACTTAATTTTTTCATAATATAAACAAAAAATATACCTTCTATTTTGGAACCATATCTTGACTTGTGTCGGCGTCAATTTCAATCCTTGTGCCATTTGTTCCCTTTCTGGGGCTGACAGATATTTCTGTTGTTTGAACCTTTGTTCCAATTCGTAGACCTGGGCTTGACTGAATAGTACGCGGGGTTTTCGCTTTGACCTTTGACGACCTGATTTCCTGAGTTCCGTTTTTGAACTGGTGACTTGTTGGATTTCTGAAAGGAAAACAATGGGGGTGATTTATAGGGGTTGGCAGTGAATATATTGTTATATGTGTGGTCAACATGTATTTTTCGATAGTTTGGAAAATATATACGAAAATGACAATTAATCTTTTTTTATAGCACACAGAATTTTTGTATTGGCAACAGATTAGCTCCTAACCTTAAAATATTATTTTTCTATGGCTATAAAATAAAACTACACTTTACTACACTACTGCAGATCAAGAAATCATGAAGTTTTTGTTATTCTTATAACACAAAATAGTTATTTTCTAATTATTTTATTAAAGAATTCCAATTTTCTAAAACATAAGTAGCTGTTATTTTAATTTAATTTAAATATATGTATATACAGTGTGTGTTATAAAGTTGTATCCTCATGAGAATTTCTTTTAATATCACGATTGGAAAACAACGTCGTAGGGCAATCATATCTGCTTATTTAATAAACTAAAATAGCATGATGTTAAAGTTGGCTACTGACATTAGTTTTTTGTCAAAATTCCTTTTTTTTAAGAATATCAAACAATTTAAAAAAAAATACCAAATTTGACAGATAACCAATGCAATACCTAGCCAGCTTTAGTATTGGCTATTTTAAGTTGTGAAAAAGGCAGAAGTGAATGCCCTACGATGTTTTTTACACTTCTACTATCAACAAAATTTCCCATATGGATCCAACTTTATGGAACACACTGTTTAGGCAAAATACCACTGACTCATCACGAGATCTCCAAAACTATAAGCCCGATTGACTTGAAACTTGGCATAGTTACTCCTCTTTCGATGGATTTTTTACATATCACATTTTAAAGGGGGGAAACGGGGTGTAAGTTTGTATAGGAGTATCGAATTTTTTAAGGGTAGGAACTTGAAAATTGGAATTGTAGCTACCCATCATGAATAAATAATGACCTATTTCAGGGTAGACAATAAGGAAGTTGTACAGCATCTTTTAAGTTCTCTTTATTAAATTTATTAGAAGGTGAAAACTCACTAAGTAACGTACAAATTTCTAGTTCATTTTGTTGTTAATATATCAATAGGTATTTATTTTTTACTAGTTAACTTTAAAAGGGTTTTATTCACTAGAAATGAGAAATACAAGTTTATTATTTTGCAGCACATTTAATTATTTTTTTATTAAAAGAAAAGTGTATGCAGCTTCCTTATTTGACTAGACTTTTAATACCTAATAACAGTTGAAAAGTGTTTTTTGTTTTAACCATTTTTAGTTCTAGGTACTTTCCCAGTCTCTTTGTGATTACATTTTAGTATTAATAATACTTTATTTTGAACATGACGTCTTGGTAAATTTTACCCCCCCCCCCCACAAAAAAGCTAAATTAGCCCTTGATTTATGTAATTATCCATCCTAGCCCCAATGCTAAAATTTGCATTCAATGACTTGATCTTTATAGCAGTAATTGAAATGGATAGTAGTATCATTGTATAAAATGGTAGTATTATACAGGTTGTTTCAGATTTAAACGGACACAGCTTAATGGGAGGTAGAGTACACTTAGCTGAGTTCTAAAGACTCCTATACTTAGCCTTTAATCTTACTCGTTTCTGAGATATAGGGTGTTTTATGACTTTTTCCAAAACTAAAATCGGATATTTTGTTTGAACGGCTAGAGTTATTATGATAAAATTTTGTACAAAAGTTACACTCTCTTAGGCTAATGAAAACGGTAATTTAATTTTAAAAAATTCCAGGACCGGACTCTCTTTTTTTTATATTGCACTTTTTAGCTAGAATATCACCCTGTATATCGGATTTTAATAAATGTTACTGCACATTTAAATAGTACATGGATCAACAAATGAAATAATGTAATAATATTTAATGGCACTATCTTGATGTTCTTACAATAAATTTTTATAATGGCGACTACATTATTATAAATCAGTATTTACAAAATTAAAATCAAATATTTTACTCTGTACTTTTGAAAACTTTACACAAATTAGGTACCATCTTCATTTATTTTTAACTACTGCATCTTCCAATAAGAAATTAAACATCTACACAGGACCGGGCTCACTTTATTTGATAAAGTAACAGAACAAACTAACAGAAACAAATAATTAATTTAAACTAAAGTAAATTTTCAAAATGAACACCATGAACATCAATACACCTCTGCGAACGTTTTAACAGGTTTTTCACTGATTTGTCAATTATTTCCGGTTTATTTCTAATGTTGTTGCATACATTATTAATTTTTTCCAACTGTGCTCGGGTATTCATTTCTTCGTTGTACACCTCTGATTTAGGCAGCCCCATAAAATATAATCCAGAGGTGTTAGATATGGAGATCTTGGTGGCTAATTGGCGGGACCGCCTCGACCTATCCAGCGACTTGAACACACATTAAATGTTTGGTGTGGAATTTTTAAAAAAATCACCTAATACCCAAGCACAGTTAAATCATCGTTTCCCAAATAGATGGATAGGTCAAGGCGGTCTCGTCAATTGGCCACCAAGATCTCCAGATCTAACACCTCTGGTTTATTTTTTATGGGGCTACCTTAAATCAGAGGTGTACAACGAAGAAATGAATACCCGAGCACAAATATTAGAAAAAATTAACAATGTATGTAACAACATTAAAAATAAACCAAAACTAATTGACAAATTAGTGAGAAACCTGTTAAAACGTTCGCAGAGGTGTATTGACGTTCACGTTGTTCATTTTGAAAATCTACTGTAGCTTTAATTAATTATTTGTTTCTGTTAGTTTGTTTTATTACTTTATTAAATAAAGTGAGCCCGGTCCTGTGTAGATGTTCAATTTCCTAATGGAAAATGTTGTAGTTAGAAAAAAAATGAAGATGGTACCTAATTTGTGTAGAGTTTTAAAAGAACAGGGTAAAATATTTGATTTTAATTTTGTAAATACTGATTTATAATAATATAGTCGCCATTATAAAAATTTACTGTAAGAACATCAAGATGATGCAATTAAATATTATTACATTATTTCATTTGTTGGTCCATGTACTATTTAAATGTGCAGTAACATTTATTAAAATCCGATATACAGGGTGATATTCTAGCTAAGAAGAGCACAATATAAAAAAAGAGAGTCCGGTCCTGGAATTTTTTAAAATGAAATTATGGTTTTCATTAACCTAAGAGAGTGTAACTTTTGTACAAAATTTTATCAAATAACTCTAGCAGTTCAAACAAAATGGCCGATTTTAATTTTGGCAAAAAGTCATAAAACACTCTATATCTCAAAAACGAGTAAGATTAAAGGCTTAGGATAGGGGTGTTTTGAACTCAGCTAAGGGTACTCTACCTCCCATTAAGCTGTGTCCGTTTAAATCTGAAATACCCTGTATAATAAAGAATCAAGTTATAATGTAGTTGATTGTAGAAAATAAAGAAAATATTTGAAAAATGTAGGTTAGAAAATAGGAATGAGGGTTAACCAAACATCACGTAGCTCTTGGGGAGATTCGTGTGAGGAAGCTTCGTCGTGAAAAAATATTGATTATGATTATCAGCTAATTATTAGTCAAATGATTATTATTAATCAACTGAAAGTACAGGAAATTATTTAACTTTTGAGTAATGTGAGTAATGTAAAAAGTGAGGGTAATTCAAGTATCAAATAAAATACAGAGTGATTTGTTAACAAAATAACAAGATTGTTGCCGACTAAAATTAATGAACCTTGCATATATTCGAAAATAATTTATAAAATAAACAGATTTTATGTCTCTAATAGTGCCAAAGATGAGTATTGGACTGCTTCGTAGTAATAGATTATTATCTGTATCTGTATATACAGGGTGTCCCATTAAGAAAGGGACATAGAACAATTGACGATTATCTGATTAAGACGTTTAAACGAAACATGCTTGAAGAAAATCTTACTCGTTTCCAAAAGTTTAAAATTTAAAAATTTTGTAATTTAAATTTTTTTGTATTAGTTTTCAGCAAGAGTACATTATTTATTTAAGAAAACACCGTGGCGTAACTAGTTATCTGACCTGGGGTGGACTAGGGTGGGCCTGTTATTGTGAATTGGAATCTTTAAAAAATTAAAGAATTATTGACTCTTAAAGATACAAACATCTAGTTGTTTGATCAAATTGTTCTAATATTTCTTAAAGTAATTACAAAGTAATTTTAATAGAAACTGAATAATGTAACAAAAAGATGTATAGAAAATTTATCCACAGTTTCTGGGATCAAAAATACATCAATTTAAACTAACTTGTTTACATAAAAAATGAATAGTAAAAAAGTTACAGGGTGTTAAAGTAGAAATTTTAGAAGTAATTTTTGCCCGTATTCTAAAACGACTTCACATATTTTAATGAAAATGTACATGATATGTTATTATACAGTGACCAAAAAAATGAAGTTAGTGGCGTTTAAAATTGTATTATTGCTGTAGGGTTATAAAATGGTTGGACACCCCTTTACCCCGCTACTTTTTTAAGACTATATAATTCAATTTCAAACAGGACGCCACTGAAATCTTACATCTGTTTTAAAATTTGTTCGTGAAAGCCTTACTTATTGAGTTATAGGCTTCAGAAGGAACGTCGTAGTGAAAAATTCAATGATCTTAAACTACAGAATATTTTTTCATAATTTTTTTTACAAGTAAAGTAAAAGTAAAACGAATCTTGAACAAATATTCAGTGGTTTGAGGTCAATAGAACAATTTTTTTGTGAGTATTTTTCGCTATAACCTTTCTTCTGAGCCCTATAACTCGGTAATTAAGGATTTCACAAACAAATATTAGCAGACAAAAAAAATTTCAAAACAGTGAAGTCCTGTTGTTAACTAAATTTTATTTGTTAAAGAGTAAGGAGGTCAAATGGTTGCGAAACCCTTCTAAAAATCTATAGAAGTAAATCAATTTTAAATGCCACTAAGTACATTTTATTGGTCACTGTGTACTAACGTCCCATGTACATTTTTATAAAAATATGTTAATCCGTTTTAGAGTACGAGCAAAAACTCACTTCTAAAATTTACTATCCATTTTTTATAAAAGCAAGTTAGCTTAAATCCACTTATTTTCGGCCCCAGAAACTGTGATAAAATTTACTGTACATATTTTTGCTACACACTGTATAAAATGGAAAACTTCCTATATTAGACAAACGACAAAAAAGTACCGCGTAGACTTTAAATTTACTTTAATTTCCTATTCGGTTGTAAGAATAATTCCAGAACGAGATCAACTATAATATAACTTTCATAAAAAAAATCAAAGTCGGCTTTTTACTGAAATGGGAGCTGCCCCCTAGGCGCCTAAAAAAACAAAAAAATTTAATAATTTTAAGTTTGTAGACAGAGGCATAAAATTTATAAGGAATGGAGATGTTACTTACCCATACTGTACGCCATTGCCTAAGTTTATTTAACTGATTTTTATGCTAATAGGTGTATCTTATGACACAGTTCTTTAAACGTTTGCTGAATTTAGTAAAATTATACTGAGTACCTAATAAAAGAAAACCATAATGAATAAAAATATTGAATTTTCAAACTATCACACCCTGTTTTTTCGGAAATATTTTACCTAAGCATATTTCGTTTAGTCGTCTTATTTTTAATTGATGAACGTTCAGTTGTTCTATGTCCCATTCTTAATGGGACATCCTGTATATTATCCTAACATTTTATAAATTATCTACTGTTCTTTTTACCTGCTCAGTCATAATTCTCAACTAATCACTTTTATTACCTAAGTATCTTAAATCTTAAATAACTTTAACAATAATACTCTCCTTAATTTCAATACCTAAAGTCGACTGAGCTTGTATGGGGAGGGGACGGCTATTATTATTACTATTTGCCGTGGTGCTCCGGGGTGACTTAAAGATGACTGATGATGCCATTTAACTTATAGATGAGAAAAACCGGAAAAACCTCATCCACCATCATACTATTAAATTTATTACAATTTTTATTAAAACTAAGAGTTAGGTACGGTACCTAAGTAAGTACAACCTGTTAATTTAAAAATTTTCCTATTATTAAAAAATGATTACCTACATCAATTATGTTGCTGATCAGTGGGTCTTTATTGTATAATATATTTCTGCTCCAATAATGAAGTTAGGAATAAAAAGACCTAAGCACTTGTTGCCTGTCTGTCAAGCCCATCCTTATCGATACGATGCAGATCCTGATATGCGATTATTTAAGGGTGTGATTCTACATGAAAAATTAATAGTTTACCTACTGTATAAACAATGGCCAAAAAATATATTTTTTTATATTCTTCAATATAATAATTACATTATTTTTTTTGAACAATACAACGGTATTAATTTTATTACTCAAAAACAGCGCATTGCAGAAAAATAACTAAAGAGATTTGAACAAGGAATTAAAAAATAATCTTTATTTAGAAAAAAAAAACTATTTTCTTCTTCAAAAATATCGAAGTCAGTGCCCGTACGCACGCCACTGTCAAAGCTGAAAATTATTTTTGTATTGAAAAATATGCATCTTTGTTAATTGTCACTGCGAACTACATATCACTGACATATCTGAAACAGTTTCATATTATACATATAGTAATTTTTTTTCCCTAAAATTTTAGCATCCTGTATTTTAGTAACGCGACATTTTTAGCAAAGCAAAAACTATCAGTAATTTTTCAAGTAGATTCATACCTTTCTATATTCGCGCATCATTAAAGAACATACTGTTTAAAATTCTCTTTCAGTTGGTTTAGGAAAATTATAAAAAATTTGTCAACTGATGTATCAAATTTCCTATCGATTGTTGAAAAAGCCAAAAAAAAATCGACTTTTCTTGAAAAAATGTATAGATATTAAATACTGGTAGTCGCACAATTGTGCAACATGACTCTAATGCAGTATCTTATTTATTCACCTGTTAGCTAAGCTAAATAAAGAATAGGTATCTAGAAATTCGGGCAATTATACATATCTTTAGACAAATCTACTGACTTACTTGGACTCTCCACTTTAATATATCCTGCTTCATTCTTAGTTCCTCTATGCACCTGTTCACTTTGATTTGCACAATATAAATTATTTAAATGCTGTATATGATTCTGATGAGTCCCTTCCCCGTGCTCACAATTCCAATAGTTTCTATTAACAAAATTTTCATTGTCACTATTAAAATAATACCCGTATTGTTCGAGACTCCCGAAGTATCCTGAATTTTCCCAATAAGTTTGTTGCATATTAAAATTGTCACCGTTGTGTTCTTTTTTAACACTATTACCGAAATATTCGTTATCATTTATAGCGTTTATATTTAAGATATCTTTAACCGAAAAAGGTGTAGTCGTAGTATCGCATTGCAAATCTGTGTTGCTAATGTCAAACTGATGCATCATAATTTTTAATCAATTACTTAACACTTCTGAACCGCATGAAGTCCAAACTAATTATGTATGTGGTTCTTAATATTTTTAGACAAATCATTAGAACTCAATCAGCACACCAAATTCATCCATCTCTGTCCCTCAGACCATAAAAAGATTAAAATCCTCGTGCTTAGAGCTCATTCTTGTTTGCTAGGCCATTTAACATACTATGACCGTAATATCAAGGCGCTGTAAGTCCAGAATGTAGGGAGTGAAGGTGACGTCACGCACGGGGAACGCCCCTCTGGCCAATAGGAGTGCAGCTAGAGTTAATATTTGCTTTCAGTTGATTGATTAAAGGTCTTGTGAGGATTATTAAATGGATTTTAGCGGTACTACAGGAGTGTGATTTGTTGTATTTACATTGTGGCTGAGGTTCGGACAAAGCTTTTAATTATATACGAGGTGCTAGGGAACGTATCAGATTAGGATTTGTATATTTTTTATTTATTTTTAATAAAACACATCAGGGTATAGGTAATAATAAAGTATTCCAAGAAAAAATCACGCATATTATTATGTCGTATCTTGGTATAGGTATTACAGTATCGCTTTTTTAAATGACAGTAGGCACTAAGAATGAGAGTAGTATAATCACACAAAAAACACATTCTAAACAACAACGTCCTTGAAATTAGCACTACCACTTTGGAATTTTCGATTTTTGAGTATTGGAGAAGTTGTCGCTCTTTTGTCGTAAATTTGTCTAAAAAAAAGAAAAATTTTCGATCATCCTCTTTTCGAAATAACCCCTGGTAGTGCCAACTTCACGGTTAATAAAAATTTGTTAATTTTATATCATTGTTTATATTTAACACTTAATGTCTGCTCTCACTGTTAATGTTTTGCTACTATATATGGGGTATTGTAACAACACTTAACACTTTTTTGTAATACAGGGTGTCCCAATCAAAAGTAGCCCATTTCCAGAGCCTATAACTTTTAAACAAATCGTAGAAACGTGCGGTTTTTGCTGATATGTGTTATTTTGCTATAAGTTTTGCTTCAGTGACACAGAAATTATGTATTACCTATACAGGGTGTTTTTTAAAAATGTCTTTTTTTAAATTCACCGTAACCAAATTTTATCAAATGGATACCGGCTACTTTTCATTGGGATACCCTGTATGTACTTAAGTTTTCTTTTACCAACACATGTATTTAGCATGAGGATGGCCAAAACTAGATATAAGTTTGAGTTAATAAAAATTTATCAATAATTTTGTTTATAATATATTAAAAAAAATTGTTCATCCAATTATACATCACAGTAAATTGTATTTTTAGGGTGGGTATGTTACTTCCTCTTCTCATCAAATTACTAGCCTAGGTAGGTACTACAGTTTAAAATAAACAGTAATAATAATAGCTTGCCCAACAGTTTGCCAAAATTATTAAATTACAAAAGTAATTCTACTTATAGGTTGTGATATAACATATAATTACACTAACACTAAAAGTAAATAGAAGTAGCTAAATAGAAACTATAATAGAAAACAAATTAATATTGAGAAAAAGCCAAGAAAATTTTATAGAAAACTTAAAAATTCTTACAAAAATGGAACAAAGAGAATGCAATATAATACAGTATATTTATTACATTATTTCGTTAAGGAAAGTAACTGCATTTTTAATTAGTTCACCAAGAGAACAATGAGAAATATCGTAATGACAACTAATTTTATTCTAATTATTACACATTACATATAAGGGTGATTTTAATATAAATGATTAATAATAATTTTAAAGAAGAGGAATTTAACGATTTTATACATCTTTTTTTACATAGACGAGCTGAGGTACGTTACGTCCTCTTTTATTAAATTCGTTTTACAATGACTGATGATGGTCATTGACCGAAACTAGACGCACTGTTAAATAAAAAAAAACATCTGTGATTTTTCCTTTCCTATCTTACTCTTAATTTTCATATCAATATTCTCATCAGTACACTATCCAAATTTATTTAATTATCATGGTATGGATAAGTGAACATTTCTGAAAATAATCTTAAAGGTTTAAAACCATTTTTCTCAAAACCATATATTACTGGGATCGACTTTAAATACGTGAACCAAATGGGTAAATTTATATGCACCAAATAAACGTTTTTTTTATTGTAGAAGCAAACTTTAAAAACTATAATAGAATTTAAAAACCTAATATCTATTACAAAAACTTTACTAGTAGTAAGATACATAGTAAATTCTAATTAAAATAAATAGAACTTATCTCAAGAAAATAGTTAACTAGCTGCAAATAAACCAAAAACCAATCAGTAGCTTAAAATGTACACTAATAGTAAAATACTAATATCCCTAACCACAAGTAAATAGTTCACTAACTGTAGGTCGTCGCTAACAACAAGTGACTTATTTCACAAATCTAGTTTTTCTTAATATTCGCTCCGTGCGCGACAGCAGCGCCAATTTGTTTTGGTATTAAAGGAGTATTTCTGCCTATACTGACAAATACAATTTTTAATAGAATTCGTAAATAAAAAGTATATATGTTAGTTTTAATAAAAGCATATGGATTTATAAAACAATTAAAACATTAATTTATAATTATTATATATTTTTCACGCTTAAATTATGTATAATCATTAAAAATCAATAATAAAATATAGGCAGGCAACAGTATTTACTGGAAAATGTATGAGAAGTTGCCTGAGTCTAATAAGTTGTCATTGAAGAAACCATTTATAATAGCGTGAAGTTAAAATGTATAAAAAGGATCGCTAATTATATTTTCATTTTTGTTCTAAGGAAAACATAGAATGAATGATTAAAACTGGTTTCCGATCAGTAAGTCACAAAATCGCATACCAGCCAAATATTAAAATCAACGGCAGAAATCTTGAAATCTAGTCCTTGCTGAATGAACATTTAAGAATAAAGGGATATTAAAGAACATCGTAAAATGATAATTTATTGTTTATTTAAAAACTTTATAGTTTCTGATGTCTACTATTTCCAGCATTACTGTTATTATCACAAAAATAAAGGTAATTTTTCTTCTTATTGTACACCTATCCATTTATTTCTTTGATTTAATTTCCACTTTGTTAGTGAAATTTGTTATATAAGTTTCACTGTTTTTTTTTTGCTAGTATTTGTACAATTTTCAACACAGCAACTCCGGTTGCTTATTGTGTTGTTTTTACCTACTTTTTTGAAAAAAAGTAAAATGTATACGTGTATTTGATATGCCAAAATTACAAAATATCCCCCTAAAATGCACGAATTATCCGCAGCTAGCGCTAGTATCGCGTTTGCTTCCCTTTCCATAACTTCGCACGGAGCGAATAAGTAAACATTTTAATTATCAATTGTCCCCATATAGTACACAACTTCTTATTTGCGGTAAGTAAAAAGTTCGGTAAAGGTACCATTTCGGAAAGCGCGACAGACGATAAACGAAAACCACAAACAATTATTCAAGGGAACGATCAGTGTTGCCAGACCTACTGTTTTTAAGTAGATGCTCTGTTTTTGTCTCTGTTCCTGTTTTAGGCATAAAATCTACTGTTTTCGCCAACTTAGCAAGTTTTTTTTTTATTAATTTATTAAAGTTGCCTCATTCTTCAGCAAATTGTCGAAGAATATTTTCTCTAGTAAATTTGCTGAAGTAAAAGCAGCGTAATAAGCAGCCACTCTTGTAGGTTTGCTCCATAAAAAAAACCTCAAGATAATTATTATGTTTTTATTTGAAATGCAACAAAGACTAGACTAGACTAGACTAGACTAGACTAGACTAGACTAGACTAGACTAGACTAGACTAGACTAGACTAGACTAGACTAGACTAGACTAGACTAGACTAGACTAGACTAGACTAGACTAGACTAGACTAGACTAGACTAGACTAGACTAGACTAGACTAGACTAGACTAGACTAGACTAGACTAGACTAGACTAGACTAGACTAGACTAGACTAGACTAGACTAGACTAGACTAGACTAGACTAGACTAGACTAGACTAGACTAGACTAGACTAGACTAGACTAGACTAGACTAGACTAGACTAGACTAGACTAGACTAGACTAGACTAGACTAGACTAGACTAGACTAGACTAGACTAGACTAGACTAGACTAGACTAGACTAGACTAGACTAGACTAGACTAGACTAGACTAGACTAGACTAGACTAGACTAGACTAGACTAGACTAGACTAGACTAGACTAGACTAGACTAGACTAGACTAGACTAGACTAGACTAGACTAGACTAGACTAGACTAGACTAGACTAGACTAGACTAGACTAGACTAGACTAGACTAGACTAGACTAGACTAGACTAGACTAGACTAGACTAGACTAGACTAGACTAGACTAGACTAGACTAGACTAGACTAGACTAGACTAGACTAGACTAGACTAGACTAGACTAGACTAGACTAGACTAGACTAGACTAGACTAGACTAGACTAGACTAGACTAGACTAGACTAGACTAGACTAGACTAGACTAGACTAGACTAGACTAGACTAGACTAGACTAGACTAGACTAGACTAGACTAGACTAGACTAGACTAGACTAGACTAGACTAGACTAGACTAGACTAGACTAGACTAGACTAGACTAGACTAGACTAGACTAGACTAGACTAGACTAGACTAGACTAGACTAGACTAGACTAGACTAGACTAGACTAGACTAGACTAGACTAGACTAGACTAGACTAGACTAGACTAGACTAGACTAGACTAGACTAGACTAGACTAGACTAGACTAGACTAGACTAGACTAGACTAGACTAGACTGGACTGGACTAGACTAGACTAGACTAGACTAGACTAGACTAGACTAGACTAGACTAGACTGGACTGGACTAGACTAGACTAGACTAGACTAGACTAGACTAGACTAGACTAGACTAGACTAGACTAGACTAGACTAGACTAGACTAGACTAGACTAGACTAGACTAGACTAGACTAGACTAGACTAGACTAGACTAGACTAGATTAGACTAGACTAGACTAGACTAGACTAGACTAGAC